GTGTGTGTGTGTGTGTGTGTGTGTGTGTGTGTGTCAGTGTGTGTGTGTGCAGTAACTCTGTGTCCTGCAGGTGTTTGAACATCTGGGTGCTTTTGTACCTATGCACACATCGATCTTGCCCTTGATGGCTGCCTCGTGGAGCGGGGTGTAGTTCCAGTTGTCTCTGGCGTTGGCGTCCGCCCCGTGGTGAAGCAGCAGACTCACAACCTACGCACACAAAAAAACCACACAAGGCTGCAGAGTTTCTGAAGTTTCAGGGGAAAGGTCTCCACTTTCCAGCTCTGGATACAGAACACGTGGATGTACCTCGGCGTGGCCGAAGGAGCAGGCGTTGTGGAGCGATATCAGACCGCCATCATCCCTGGCATGGACGTTGGCGCCGTTCTGGAGGAGGAAGTCCACCACGTCTTTACGGCCAAAGCCTGGAGACGCAGAGAGCGACACGAATGAACGAGGCTCATTATTCCTCCGCTGCCTGAGCCCTTGAACACCTCTGTGACTCCTCTCATTCTACACCCATAAATTATTCAGAGCGAGGCGGCAGCGAGCTAACGGGGCTGTACAGGGAGGAGGCAGCTTCATCATCATCATCACAGGGGAGAAGAGACGCACGGAGAGTTTTGTGAGCTGAAACATCACTGCAGTCAGTTTGACAAAGAAAAACACAACCGCTCCAAGTTTTAAATGAACGCTGATGAAACTCTGCAGAGCTGCAGAGCGAGGTCATGATAACCATCCACACAGATCCGGCTTCCATCCACTCAGGTCTGGGGAAAATAACAACAGCATAAAACTTGCACTTCTTTTTATTGCAGTACAAACTTCTTAAAGTACATTTCAAAAGAACAAAGAAAACAACTTGAATATGCAGAAATGATGAAGATCACAAAGAGACTGAGCTGCCTGGGTTTGTGCTCCCTGTGTGCTAACAGCTGTTTATATTGTTTTAAACCAATTATACATACAATAACATTACATATGCTTTAAACCATTCATGCTACTTATGAATGTGAAGCCGTGTTAGCGTCTGGCAGAAACACGAGGACATCATCAGTATATAATGAGATAATTATTATTAATATTATGTTTTTTAAAATTTTGAAAAGACCATAAAAACTGTAAAAAGAAGACGGCAGACATGCTGTTATCTGACAGGTTAATCAAGCCTGAGCGTCTCACCTGCAGCGAAGTGCAGCGGCGTGGATTTCCGGCCCGCCGTGTCTCTGCTGTTCACGTTCACGGCTGTCACCAGTTTCCGGACCCGCTCCAGGTCTCCGCTCCGACAGGCCTCGAACAGCTCCCTGCGGCCCTCACCGGTACCCGGCTCTGCCACCTCCACCACCACAGGCCCCGGAGACACGGCTCCGCCCCCGAGACCCGACACTCCTGAACATCTCCGGCCAGACGACATGGGCGGAGGAGAGTGGCCTCTTCCCAGTTTCAAGCTGCCAGTTCCTGAGAGTTTGGATTGCGAGCAGCAAACGGACGAACCCCAGAACCTTGCAGCCACCGAGGCCATGCAGCACGAGTCCTGGTACCTGAAAGGCCCCAAACCCAGGAAACCATGAAGAACTGCTTCAGCGTCTGTGCAGCAGATGGAGTTAGAAGTAATAAACACAACCAAGAAGCTGAGAAATCTTTTTCTGT